GTAGAGACAGGGTTTCATCATGTTGACCAGGATGGTCTCGATCTCTTGACCTGGTGATCCCCCCGCCTCGGCCTCCCAAAGTGCTGGGATTACAGGCGTGAGCCACCGCGCCCGGCAATTTTTTGTATTTTTAGTAGAGACGGGTTTTCACCGTGTTGGCCAAGATGGTCTTGAGCTCTTGGCTTTGTGATGTGCCCACCTCAGCCTCCCGAAGTGGTGGGATTACAGGCGTGAGCCACCGCGCCCAGCCAATAAAGTTGTTAAAGGTTATTTTCTTTATTGTTCTGAATGCCAATACAAAATAATAATTCTACAAATATTAGAATTATATCGAATTTATTTTTGTTTTATAATTTAAAAAATTATTTTCTCAAAAAGAATATGATTATCTTAAATGTATTTGGCTACTGCATATTATCATAATGTTTTATTTTATTTTTGGTTTTTGAGACAGAGTCTCACACTATGGCTCAGGATGGAGTGCAGTGGTGCAATCATAGCTCACTGTAACCTCAAACTCTTAGGCTCAAATGATCTTTCCACCTTGGCCTCCTGAATAGCTGGGACTACAGATGTGTGCTACCACAGCTGGCTAATTTTTTTAAAAAAAATTTGTAGTCTAAAACTCCTGGGTTCAAGCAATCTTCCCACTTTGATCCCCCAAGGTGCTGGGATTACAGACATGAGCCACAATGTCTGGCCTTTAATATTTGAATTGAGTGTTCACCTATTTTCCTATTTATTAATAACTTTTTGTAAGTTCCTATGTTTGTATATAAAATTAGATGCTTTCATAATCATCATTAAGTATTGTAGCATTTAACTCCTGCCATAATAAATATATATTTATATTTCAAATGACTGAAACATTTCAACATATAGGGAGGTTTTCATCCCAATTGACATCTAGAATGCTTACCTATATTTGAAAATATTTAGATATTAAAAATAAATCTAAATGATATTCTTTGTTTACATTACTGACAGTTCGGTACTGATTATACATGATGATAACAGATAAGATCACATCTTGCACGAGTTCTGGGATGGCAGAAGTAATGTTGAGGTAGACATTTGGCCTTCCAAAGGGTAAGGCCAAAGGTGAGAGCAGATTTTGGCCAAATATTAAGGCCAAAGCTAACTCTTCTTTTCTCTTCTCTTCTCTTCAGTCTCACTCTGTTGCCCAGGCTGGAGTGCAGTGGCATGATCTCAGCTCACTGGAACCTCTGCCTCCATGGTTCAAGTGATTCTCCTGCCTCAGCCTCCTGAGTAGCTGGGACTACAGACACCTGCCACCACGCCTGGCTAATTTTTGTATTTTTAGTAGAGACAGGGTTTCTTTCACCATGTTGACCAGGCTGGTCTCAAACTCCTGGCCTCAAGTGATCCAGCTGTCTTGGGCTCCCAAAGTGCTGGAATGACGAGCATGAGCCACCGTGCCCAGCTCCAAAGCTGACTTTCAGTGCATCCCTACAGCGACTCTTACTTTATCCCTTGCTCCAGAACTGTCCTAGATGACGTGACTTAGAAAGTGTCTCGGATGATTTTAATGCAAAAGAGCACACAGAGGAACATCCATATAGCATCCCATGCCTTCACTAATACCACCCCCACCCCTGTACCAGAAGACATAAATCTCTTCCTTTTGTGAGCTGGGTCCTTTCAAAATTACTAGGGTGGGCTAGTTAAGTGGAGCGTGCACCTGCAGTGAAAGAGGGAGATAACTGAAAAAAGATGAAAGAACTTGACCAGATTCCTTTGTAGTTAATAAGTGATGATTGGATTTTCATGCTCTTGTGTTCGATGTGCCTCCCTTAAACTTTGTCATGACATCTCAGCACATTACCCATCTGACGTGAAAAATAAAGGAGGAAGAAAGAAAGAACTTAACCAGGAGACCAAATATAAGAAGAGCCAGAGAGGACTATGGCTTTCTTTAGAGAAGAAGAGGCTGCAGAGGTGAAGCATCACTGGAATTATTAAATGAGTTTTGGAGGTTATGCATTGTTTCTAATTTCCCCTAGGTATAGATGTAAAAATTGTAGGAAACCATTCTTGGGTGGAAGAAGCCACATTAAATGTTGGAGAAAGTTGCTGACGCAGGCTCTCAAGGGTGGGGCAGAAGAAGAGCCGGTGGAGCAATGATGTCCTCGGGAACCAGCAAACGTACTTACTAGGTAGGCTTTCCAGTTTTCATGCCTTTATGGTTTTGTAAAAAGTAAAAACAGCTTTTCTCTAACAAGGGATGTCCTGAACAAGAGATGGGTCACCCTCAAATTTCTGGTTGCCTATTGCCGATTAAAAGGAAGGCCAGCTAAACACAAGGCAGTATTCTAGATTGGATTCTGAAATATAAAAAGGACATTAGTGGAAAAACTGGTGAAATCTAAGTCTGGAGTTTAGATAATGGCAGTGTATCAGTGTTAGTTTCTTGGCTTTGACAATGTACCAGGATAATATAATGTGTTAACCTTGGGGAACACTGGGTGGGAATGTATGAGAATTCTCTGTACTATCTTTGCAAATTTTCTGTAAATCTAAATTTATTCCAAAAGTGAAAAACAAACAAAAAGAAAACACCTAAAACTGAGGGAAAATAAGGAGGCCTGAATTTGAAAGCAGGCTAGTGGGTTTTTGTAGGGAGGCATTTCCTTCAGGGCTAGGCAGAGCCCACCGAGAAGGTTAAATAGGAAGAGTGTAAAGACGGCTCCAAATATGGACTAGAAAGTAAGGTAATGAAACACAACTGGGGGAAAACAAGTAGAGGATAGACTCATACCAGGCTACTTAGTGTAAATTTTGAGAAAATGATCTCAATATTAACATATATATTATAATGAGGTAGGAATGATCTAATATAAACTCATTCTCTCACACAGATAATCCTTTAGTGTTCAGCCAAAGTTCAATTCACATGGAATTGACATCTGCCACCTTTGGTGAGAGTTATAAGAAGCCAGGTGTGTTTTTTTTTCCCCTTCCTCCATGCCGATGTGAGCTGTGGTTAAACCATGGTTTTGGAGTGAGATGGCTCGATATTTTTTCTTACCATGTTGTTTCATAGTTTCCAATTCTGCATTAAAAAATTAAACAGCTTAAAAAATGAACGAGTAGAATTATATGAAACTAAAAATTTTCCATGTAATAAACTAAATAATCAACAAAATGAAAAGGCTACCCACAGAATGGGAGAAAATACTACTTGCAAACTGTATAGCTGATAAGAGGTACTATGGTCTGAATGTTTGTGTACCCCCAAATTCATGTGTTAATGCCTAATCTCCAATGTGATAGTGTTTCCATTAGGAGTTTCCTCCTAGGGCTCTGCCCTAATGAATGGCATTAGCGGCCCTATAAAAGTTGCCAGAGGGAGGTCGTTTGTCTATATGAGGCCATATGGAACAGTGGAGAGGCACCATAGAAAGCTCCATCTATGAGAAACAGGTACTCGCTGGACACAAAATCTGCTAGCACCTTGATCTTGGATTTCCTATTCTCTAGAACTGTAAGAAATACATTTATGTTGTTTATAAGCCACCCAGTCTGAGATATTGTTATAATATCTGGAATGGACTAAGACAGGAGGTTAATATCCAAAATACGCAAGAAATCCATACAAGAAAATAGCAGAAAAACAACTTGATTTTAAAAATGGGCAAAAGATTTGAATAAACATTTCTTAAAAGAAGACATACAAACGCCTAACAGGTACCGTATATGAAAAGATATTCTGCATCACTAATTAACAGGGAAATGCAAATCAAAATCACAGTGAGATATTACCTCACCTGTTAGGATGACGAATATAAAAAAGACAAAAGATATCAAGCTTTGGAGAAGATGTGGAGAAAAGGGAACCTTGCATGCTGTTGATGGAAATGTAAATTCATATAGCCACTGTGAAAAATAGTGTGGAAGTTCCTCAAAAAGTTAAAATAGAGCTACTATATGATCTAGGAATCCCACTTCTGGGTATGTATCAGAAGGAAATGAAATCAGTAAGTCAAATAGATATCTGCACTCTCATGTTCATTGCAGCACTATTCACAATAGCTAAGGTATGGAAAGCAACTAATGTCCATTGATAGATGAATGGATAAAGAAATTGTGGTATATACATATAACCGAATATTATTCAGCCTTATTAAAAAAAGGAAATCTGACTGGGTGCAGTGGCACACGCCTGTAATCCCAGTACTTTGGGAGGCTGAGGTGGGCGGATCATGATGTCAAGAGATCGAGACCATTCTGGCCAACGTGGTGAAACTCTGTCTCTACTAAAAATGCAAAAATTAGCCAGGCCAGGTGTAGCGGTGGGCGCCTGTAGTCCCAACTGCTTGGGAGGCTGAGGCAGGAGAATCACTTGAACCTGAGAGGTGGAGGTTGTGGTGAGCTGAGATCATACCACTGCACTCCAGCCTAATGACAGAGCAAGACTCTGCCTCAAAAAAAAAAAAAAAGAAGGAAATCCTATCCTTTAAAACAACATGGATGATCTGGAGAACATCTTACATTAAGTGAAATAAGCCAGACACAGAAAGGCAAACAGCACAGGAGCTCACTTATGTGTGGAATCTAACTCATAGAATCAGAGAGCGGAATGTTGGTTGCCAGGGGCTGGAAGGAGGGGGTACAGAGAAGGTGAAGGTTAAAAGGTACAACGTTTCACTTGTGCAAGATAAATAAGCTCTGAAAATCTATTATACAGCATAGTGCCTCTAGCTAATAATATTGTATACTTAAAATTTGCTAAAAGGGTAGATCTGTTGCTGTTAAGTGTTCTTATCACACGGACAAAACCCCCAAAACAATCATCATAACAAAGGGGATGGGAGGAAACTTTGGGAGGTAATGAATTTGTTTATCATTTTGATAGTGGTGATAGTTTCACAGGTATATACTTATTCTCAAGGTCATTGAGATGTATATAATAAGCATGTGCAGCTTTTATATGTCAATCATACCACAGGAAAGTCTTTTAAAAAATTAAGCAACTTTAGCAATGGTTATAAACCACATCCACTTGTTATGTTGTGCTTTGTGTTTAACCATATGATACTAGAAGCGTGCTTTGGAAAAGGGACTAGGCCTTCCTTCTTCACGTCCCCTGATTCTGTAAGTGATAGTGAAACTGCCTTTGCAAAATTGTAACACTGAAAAAAATCTAAGGTAACTGACTCCACCTTGTTTCTAACCTCACATGCGAACTGCCTTTGCTCATTCCTATATGTAGGCCAAGCTAACTATGGGAGGAATTTAGTTTAACTTTAAAGGCAAGGATGATAATTGTCTCTTCCCAAAATTCACTCTCTCCCTATTCAGGGACTGAAACTGCCTTTGTAAAACTAATGAAATGCTACAAAGCTAAAATTACAGTAGGGGCCTGAATTCTGCTAAGATATAGACATAGTTAAACAGTAATTAGTCATAGTGTCCTAGTTTATTTTTTATAATTATTTACTGCTCAGAAGTCACATAACTGGTGGTTATAAGATTTGAAATGTCTCTAATTGCTTCTATACATAGTGTCACTATTATGAAACCCAAGACTGGTCTTTGAGATATTTTTCAGACTTTGCATTCTGGTGGACCAACTGATGCCACCTGGGCTAGTGCCTCCAATTCAGGAAATGACTCAATGCTGCCTCCAATTCAGGAAATTACTCAATGCATGAAGACAGTTTTGACACCCCTGTGATTTCATTCCCAGCCAATCAGTAGAACTCCCTAGCCCCCTGCCATCCAAACAATCCTTAAAAAACACTAGTCTCCAAATTCGTGGGGAGGCAAATCTTGTAATATCTCCTTTTTCCCTTGCTCAGCTGCCAGGCAATGATTAAACTCTTTCTCTGCTGTGACACCTGCTGTTTCAGTGTATTGGTTTTTTCTTGCAGTTGGCAAGAGGAATCTGGCTGGCTGTAACAATAGCTGGACCATAGATCATAACATCTTGCATTTCAGAATGATTACTGCATGCATAACAGCTCACAGACCATTCCATCACCTAGCCTGCTCTTCAATGCAACATATGTACAGTGTGCCAGCCAACCAGTCTGATTGCCTTACTCCCCTTTGCTAGACTTTTTTATAATGGGATGGAAGAGTCTGGTTTTAAGTAGTTAATAGTATCTCAAGCTGGCTTAAGTAAAAATCAATAAATGGTCATTTACAAAATAAAAATGCCAGAGGTCTCATGGTATCTATAGGCAGGATGTGACCCAACCTCAAGAAGAAATTGGTAATAGGAACCAGAAAGCCATCACAGGAACCCAGGAAAGTTCATCTTGGCATCTCTCTTTTTATAAAATGACTTTCTTGGCTTTTTTTTTTCTACACAGAGACCAACTAGCCAACTCTAGGTCCCAATGAAAAATTTCCAGGAAAGAGAATCTGATTGGCTAAAGCCCTATCAGGTACTACCCCTAATCAATTGCAACCATAGGGTCAGAGTCACATAATATAAACATGGCTTTCTATCTATATAGGTAGAAGAGGATTACTGAGAGAAGCAAGAAGTGCTGTGCTGTGTAGATACTTACCAGGAGATAGTAGTAAACAAAATGGATAAAAGAGGAGATTTGACTGGTGTGTAAAACACACACACATACAAAAACCATGTGATGGTAAATATTCTCTTAGAGTCAATCATCAGGTGTTGCTTCAATTCCTTGACAAGTATTGAATAACTACTCTGTGTATAGCTTCAGCTAAATGCCATGGGCAGAAAAGAAGTAGAAGATATGGCCTCAGCCCTTACTTGAGTTAGAAACATGTGTCTATGAGAAAATAAAGCAACCATACATGGGGTATAATATTAAACATCAAGCCATATAGATATTAAGTTGTACTGGAGTTC